TAGGAGATGTCCATTGTTCATCTGATCCAGTTATTATTAATATAATAGTTAGTGTCTGTAATGAACTCGGTCTCTCGTTGCAGCTGTTTCTTGATCACCTCCTTTCCTCTATCATCTCACGTCCGCCATTTTGTAACGGTAAGTATGGTTGTGTTGTCATGACAATGCTTGTGTTTTTTCGTAGCGAGAGAAATGCTGACTAGACAGAATGAGGTGACTTTGTCATGTATTGAAGAAGGAAAGTCAAAATTACTGAGCAAAGTAAATGATTTGTCACTTTATTAATCCTCTCTCTCTCTGCCCCCCTCTCTCTCTCTCTCTGCCCCCTCTCTCTCTCTCTCCAGGTTGCCATGTTAATGGGTCATTCGTTGTGTTGGAAGAATATCATTAAAATATCTCAATCATCAAATGTTAGTAATTAATAATTAATTAATCAATTATTAATTAATTAATCAATGTTAATTAGTTATTAATTAATAGGTTAATTGGTTTGGATTATTGCAGTTCGTTAGTTGTTGTGTTCACACTCACATTGACCATGTAACAGGATTTAAAAGTATTTAATATTATTTATTTATTTATTTATTTGTTTGTTTATTTTAGAGTGTATTACTGATTTATTATTAATATCACTGAGTCAAGAAAATGAAGAGTATTTGATAATTAGTTTATTATTGTCAAGACAAGGAGGGATGGAGGGAGGGCATGTCTTCCCATCATATGGTAACTGGTTTAAGGTAAAAGAGGGAGAGAGGGAGGGAGGGAGGGAGAGATGGATAAGAGAAATGTATTATTATTATTATTATTATTATTATTATTATTATTATTATTATTATTATTATTATTATTATTATTATGTATAGTCAGTTTTTGGTTCTTCTCAACATTCTTTGATGGATTCAAAAAGAACTTTGACATTTCTAATCAAGTGCTTAACTAATTTAATCAATGAGGATCCACCATATTGTTTACAAGTAAGAACAACAACAAAAACAACAACAAAAATAATTTTTTTATGATGATAATAATAATAATAATAATATATTTTAGGCTCATATTACTTTTCCTCCAAGAAAACTAGCAAAGTGTAGTCAGTTAGTAACTGGATATATTGTAAAGGCTAAATCAAGACTGGACTATTTACAAGTACTTACATTATTGTCATGTAGCAAAGAATAATTGTTCTATTGTCCATGTACATGCTATTTATGCTCAGTACAAAGTTTGAGCTGATTCTAGATTTTTTATGAACTGTTAAAATTGCTCCAAAATTGGGTCAAAGTCCCTGTACTATAGTACAGGGATGTTGACCAAATTTCACCGAATTTGTAAAGGAGAGAATTCTGGGTTTTTATAATTTTATCTGATACATATACATGTACTTATGCTGTGTAGAAATTTTGAGGTGATTCCGATCAAATATAAATTTTTTATGAATTAAAGTTGCTCCAAAATCGGATCAAAGTCTCTGTACTATAGTACAGGGATGTTGGCCAAATTTCACCAAAATTGTAAAGGAGAGAATTTTAGGTTTTTATAATTTTATCTGATGCATATACATGTATTTATGCTGTGTAGAAAGTTTGAGGTGATTCCGATCAAATTTGAATTTTTTGTGAATTTTTGAAGTTGCTCCAAAATTGAGTCAAAGCCCCTGTACTATAGTACAGCTTCTCGGGCCAAATTTTGCCAAAATTAAAAATTGGAGAATTTTGGGTTTTATAATTTTATTTGATGCATATACATGTACTTATGTTGCGTAGAAAATTGATG